GGTTTCGTAGCTGAGGCCGTCCTTCCGTTCTTCAACCGCTTTTTTTATTTCGCTCCTGAGCTTCTTCTAGATTTCTGGGTTCCTTGAGAGTTCGAAGAGCGTCAAGGCTCCAGTCAGTGTCGTCGTGTCGTGTCCAGCGAAAAAAAAGACGAACGTGTGGGCAATCATTTCGGTCTTAGAAATATCTGGTAAAGACAATAGTCTCTATTAAAAAACTACCATAAGCAATCCCCTTTTAATTACCACAGTGTTTGCTCAAAGAATTGATTATCTATGTACCTTCATAATTTTTGACATCTCCATTTTCACATTTGATTAAAAAATCGAATAAATCGTTGGAAACGATGTTCTGCTCTTTTCTCAGCCTGATGACCCTTTCGACGAGTTCAGAAAATAGCGCGTATATCCCCTTGTTGAGAGTGGTGAGCCCGAGAGCCTTGTGTATCTCCGGTTGAACGGTGTAAAGGAAGGACTTGATCAAGCTCGGCGTGTCCGGATACGAGAACATGTGTGACGCTTTGAGGAAAGCAGACTGGTCCTTCACGTCGATCCCGATGAAAGTTTTCGTGATCACGTTCATCGTCAATTCGGTCAGCGTCGGGTCCATGTCGATGTCCAGATCATCCTTCGCGCATTGGTCAAACTTGGGAAAAAAGCTGTCCATAATTGGCCCCGTCATGGTATGGATGGATTTGAGACGTTTAGGAGTGAAAAGATGCGTCAACACGGATCTCCGCTTCTTCCATTCCTCAGACTTCATGAAAAAGAGCGAATGGCCCACAGCGTCTGTGTTGTTTGTTGTGTCTAGAAAAGGCGGGTGGTCAGAAAAATGTTCGAAATCTTTGATCGTTATGGTTTTGATCAAATCCGGGTCTTTGATCATGAGAAGTGGCTTCCAGAGGAAGTAATAACCGCCGAATTTGACATCGCCCAATTGCTTATAGCATTCGTCTGCGACGTCCGCTTCGTTCGCTTTCATCGCGATCACATCGCCGAAGTTTCCGAAAATCGATTTCGCCGGCCATTCTTTCACGCCGTGTCGACTCCAATAAGAAAATTTCCTTTTATACCAAAACCACCCGATCGTGATTAAAACAACGAACAACCCTATGCTAATCAACATCTCCAGAAGAACTCTCACAACTGGTTCTGTGCCCTCGGGATGTTTCATATAAAGGATTTCCCCGCAATCCCCACCATTCTAAAAAGGAATTTACGCAATTGCATCTTGCTCCCAACACGCCTGTTTACGATTTATACCCAATAGTTAATTTGATATTGATCTGTCAATTGCGTTTACGACTCAAGCTGGATTGTAGTATGGCCAACGTAAAAACAATCAAAAAATTAAACGGCTTACATTAAGCACCATGTTCTACGATCAAAAAAAGCTTTTTTTAACGACGAACTTTCTTCTTGTTCAAAGAGTCAATTAAAATTAATTTTAATATGGTGGCCGGTAGCTGCTATGGCTATTGCCTACCCCCTCGTTTTCTGCACAGTTTAGTTTTATTCTAATCGACGCTTAAGGATAGTAAAAATGAATTCTATACATCCGAATTGAAATTGATGGTGAATTATAAATAATAAGTTGAAACGATCAACATGAAAGTTCAGCTATTAAGTTTTCGTGTATTAATTTAGAACTTTAATTAGCTATTAAGGGGAAATGTGTATTTTTAATAGTGATAAATGCCGTTGAACTCAGACCCACTAAGAAAATATCTCTTAACACTAATAGCTGAGCTATTATTTATGAGAGAGGGGATAAAACTGTTATGTAAGAAATAAACGTCGAGATAGTCTTGCATGTTTGTTTCAGAACAATGTTGTCTGCGGGTCTCGCATTAGTTTGTATTTTAGTCGGAACGGTCTGGCTTTGGTTGAAACCGCGTTTTTCTTATTGGCGTCGCAAGGGCGTAAAAGAATGGGAAGCTACTTCGATTTTTGGTCACTACCGGAATGTGGTCGCCCTCAGAGGGAACGAGGTAGACGAGTGCTACAAGAAATTGGGCGATGTCAAATTCGGCGGTTATTATTTCCTCTGGAAGCCACTTCTCATGGTCAAAGATGAGGACTTGATTAAGAAAATAACGGTGAAGGATTTTGATCATTTCACGGACCACCCGCCTTTCCTCGACGTCAACAACGACACCGACGCCGTGCTTAGGTCTCTGTTCTTTTTGAACGGTGCAGAATGGAAGACGAAGCGGGCCGCGATGTCGCATTTTTTCACGCCGAGACGGCTTAAAATTCTCCCCGGCTCTGTCGAAAAACTCTGCACGGATCTATTTCCGAAATTCGACCGGCTCGCCGAGTCGAAAGAAGATTTCGAGATTGAAAATCAAACGGCGGAGATCTCGATGAACATAATCACGACGACTTTCATCGGCGTGGACGTCAAGGACCAGACTTTCTTCAGAAGTGCGGTTAAACTTTTTTCCGAACCGGGAATGGCCAACGTGTACAAATTCATTTTGTACAATGTCCACCACGCGGTCCACAAAATCCTTCGCCTGACCACTCTGGACAAAGAGATTCATCCTATATTTGCAGACCTAGTCGATAAAGTGATTACAAAAAGGTTAGAGCAAAACATTGCCGCAGAAGATTTGTTTGACTACCTGATTAAGTGCAAAAATGGCGAAATTAAACAATTCGAAGGTAAGAGAAACATTGCTTATTGCACTCAATTGTTATGAAGCTTTTGCGCTTTTCACTTTATTTATTCTGGATTGGTAGAATATAAAAGTCTACTAAAAATGTATAATAGAATTGTTTGCATGTTTTAATGTATTGTAATTTAAATTTACATTTAGTAATGACTTATTATTATTATTTTATGTTTATTGAATTTTTTAATTTAATGTTATATCCAGGAGTGATGAAAACGCCCACCAATATTTTCAAATTTGAAAGTTTAGAAAATTCAACTATTTGTTTTATAATTAATTAAGGTTTTCAGTCGAGATAAAACCTTAGTTAATTGTAATATATTAATTGGTCAAGGGGACCACGAAATTAGGGAATTATTTGTTTTATTTCATTCATCATATAAAACAGAATCTCAGGTCAATAAATTCAGAGAGAAATAACTGAAATTGTAATTAAATTTTAATAAAGTTAGCTGTTATAGGTTTTTACAAAGCTATAAAATTCTAAAAGATTTGAGCATTTTCCTTGCATGTTTCCTTAATTTAATGTAATATTTTTATTTAAATTTTCACTTCATTTTTACTTTTTATTATTATTTTATTTTTATTGA